ATAATGGAAGACTACGGAAAAATATTAGAGCAAACTCACAGTTGGATTCGACAGCGATTTCTGCTTCTGAATCGGAGGTGGTATGTCGGGACGCCGTCGCTCACGGACCACCACCTGGTACATGTGCTCCAGTCGCGGATTCCGTGGTACCAGGTTGTCAAAAGCGACTCGATGTGATGGGATATCTGAAAATACATCTGGGAATAGCTCAAGACCTGGTAGCCACAGCAGTCCAATCATTCTCATGATTCTGCGGTAACAGAGTGATCATCAAACAATTAACAATCAACGGCTTCTGGAACACAGCAATCTATGCGTACCACCAACTGGCCAGATATCTGCACATCGCCACAGAAGCTCCCACAGTACTAGCGCACAAGAATAGACGTCTGTCTGTAGCAGTGACGTCATCGGATCGAGTAGATTCACCGATCCTTCAAGGAGTTCAACGGCCATGTAGCGCACGGTACCTCGCTGGAACAAACAATCCTGCACAAAGAAGTATTATAGTTACAAGTAAAAATTTCTTACCTCAGTCAAAAGTTCGAGATTCTTCGCCGCTCGGCCTTCTGGAAATGAAATTGACAGGCCAAAATCGGCGATACAAAGCTGTATGCGTGCACTACCGTGCCGGCTATACAAAATATTATTTGGATTCAGGTCACGATGCGCTATCACTGACTTTGGAACCCCACCTGAAATGATGATAAAATAGGAAACATTCGAACAAAAATGGTGCGGGTATGGATGAATTTTTGAAGCGTATCTCTGAAGATTTATTAACTTATCTAGAAATGAATAAAATCTAGTATATGCTACCCCGCGCCGTCTGCCTGCAGTGAACACAGACCTCCCACGCACCTATCAAAAAGACACCGCCCGCTCCCTGCCGAAAAGCTGGCGCAATAGATTACGTTCATTGAAAGGAATCTTTCACGGACCATGGACCAGTGGGCGGGACCGGAAGTGGTTTTGCGACGAAGTGCTGGTAGGTACGGATCCACGTGTCGAACGCACGAACGTGAACAGGATTCACTTCAAACCTTCCCATGAACGTGGATCCGTACCTACCATGCATTTCGTCGCAAAACCACTTCCGGTCCCGCCCACTGGTCCATTTTCCGTGGAAGATTCCTTAAAGGAAGCGAGTCACGCTGGCTTCCACGCTGGATTTGCTACCCTCGCGTTATCAATCGATAAGGTGTGAGGCAGTAATTGTTGGACGAGTGTAAGCCCATGGAAGATATGATACGATGAGATAAGAAGGTGCGGCTGCTTGATAAGAGGTGCACTCCAGAATGAAAACGGGACGATAACGATAACGGTATCATATCTAGCACGCTCTTATCGCACCCCTTTCCACATCGATAAGTCTTTGTTTTTTGCAGCTGAACGTCACCTGGATTTCGGCGCCTTATCACTCCGTTGATAAGGCGCCACTGCCACTGAAACTTCACGGTGTTCTAACATTGGGCAGGACCCTATCCACTCCAGTACACAGCTTTCCTTATCGTCCCTATGAGAAATTATCGTGACCACTTCCTTTAAGGCTTAGCTAATGTATCAACGACTTGGTTCCAAATGTGGCCGATTTGTAGTCTTAGCATGAACATATCTATTTAAACAAATAAAATATATGGTAATGAAAAAACCTGACCCAATTTAAAACTCTCGACTCAACATTGGTACTGTTGATACAGTAGGAATGCGTAGTCCGCTCAGTGATATCGATGGCGCAATCTAAGAAATTGGTGAAATCAGCGAACTTTCCTCCAAGAAGCGAATGCAGAGAACCAGCGTATAGCTGTAGCATCAGACGCTTTTCAGCGACAGCTGCGTAGATCTGGAAGGTCAGCAATCAAAATCAAGTCGAAGTCGGAATCGCGATGATTACTAGAACAGCCATTCGTAGAAAGTGTTTTAAGTGAAAATTAACCTATTAGTGTTTGCACCAATAAAAAACATCAAATGAAGTTGGCTTAAGATCATCGTCTTCCGCCAGCTTTTCCGGTTCAATTCACTGGTGCACGCTGACACTCGATTCTTTACACCTCGGACGGAACTACATCAAAGTTTTGTATCGGAGTGGTTTGATAACACCCAAACAGATAATACATTCAGCGAGGAAGGAGCACTAAGAAGAGTGTGAGGATCCCATTCCAATTGTGAACACAACTGCGTCCGACCCTGTATACTATGTCACCCTTTGCGAATGAGGCGATTGTCTAAGACGCCCGCAAAGACGTAGCGGTACCAGCATGGAGCGATTCGCTGGCCCCAACAATGCATCGCCGAACGCGGGTCGCTCGTTCGCAACGCCTGTACACGGCCTGAATAGACTGCCAATTTTACATGTCGCCCTACTACTCCACAAGGCGAGACCTCACAATGGGGAGGCCTCCACTAGACAAAAATGGCTTATGCAAAAATCGTGATTGTTCTGTTTCCATTACTTACCAACTGTATGATGTTCGGATGTTCCAATGACTGAAGAAGTGTAAGGTTGTCGTATTCATTATCAAAGGTTTTCTGATCCGAATGATACACCTTCACAGCAAGTTCGCCCACGCCTAGAATGAAAGCTTAGCCTATTTTTTTTACAGATTTCTTTGTGCAACTGCAGGCTTTCATATAAAACCACATGCAAGCTCGTCCAATCCGGAGTCCTCCTTCCTTCAAGGCTTAGTCCTAGGTTCACCTCCCTGCTTGGGATTTGGAGCCGAGCCAGGCGCCGTTCTCTAATCGTCTGCGCTATGGCCTTTCGCGGCAGAGAACACAGGGGAGAGTTCAAGTAGTCACGTAATCCGCCTAGAATACTTGAAGCAGGGAGAAATTTATGGAGAAAGGTCAGTGGGCTTTCACGTCACTGAATGTGAGTAGCCAGAACTACCTACTCTAATTCATTTAGCATTACAATGAAGCCACCTACCTACGTATGTAATTCATACATAATACAATAAAATAAAGGTGAGAGTGCCTAGGTGGATAACTTTAAGTGAACTGTAACTTTTCTAGATGGAAATTTGACGGCCCATGGGTCACTCATTATAGGTCCCACCTAAAAATCATCAGAATCATGGAAAGGAAAATAGTTCCTACCTGAAACCTCTACGAGACAAGAAAAACATCAAAAAGGGACATAATGTCGAGGTTCTATGGAGAGAGAAACCTGGTCATTACCGAAAAGTGAAAGACTTACTGGATGATGCCCGATAGACATTAGCAAAATGTCCGCCGCCAATTAGCTCTCCTATCTGTAACGATGCCAACAAAGGGTCGTGATTCTCAATAAGCGGTTCTTTCTCAGCTGCGTCTGTAATTGGCTACACTTTTCTTCCTTCTCCGCAGCAAAAAATGTCTATAATGACAAATCCTAAATTTGTAGAAAAATGACCTTAAATTTCAACTACAACACTGAACTTGCCATGGCCGCAGTGCTCAAAAATAGTACATGAGGTCGCAAAGCAGTCAGAATGTACACTGTGAAATGATAGTGCATAGTGTTGCAAACATTACGAAGGCAAAATCCCTATTTCTTCTTGTCCGAACACAGACTCATACCTGATTGATTCTGGAGCTCCACTGGTGACCAGGGCACTGCTGCTTCGGATGTGATAGACACCCGTCGCAGGATACCCGTTGATTCAGGCTGCTCTCGCCGTTGCGTTCGATAGTATCGTCTTGCGGCTAACAGGAGAATCAGCACACTGAGCAAGGAGGAAGTCCACATCAATAACGCAATTCGCGAATCTAGAATAAAGCAAAAATCAGAGGAGCTGGGACAACAAAATGAACAGAAATGAAGCGATTCCTCAGGAGTTTGTTGAAAGAATTAGGTATATTCCTTTGACCCACATTTTCCAAATTACTGCATTAACTACCACTGAGAATAGCTTTATTGATATACATGAAGAAGAGGAAAGAGATAAAAGAAAACGAATCTGCTCATCATTTAATTATTATCTTATCATCAGTGCTGCATCAGGTCAGCCAAAGTATGGACTTACAGGAACCTCCGGTGAATATCAAAAGAATAAAAACTAGAAAAAGTAATGACTCATCAGCTTCAGCAAGATGGCAACCGACTGTAATATCGAAAGCGGCAGTAAACTGAGGGTAAACCAAAAGAGTAACTGGAAGACAGCGCTTGAAACAAATGAATTGTTGAATGAGCAATTTAATTCGATAAACCGCATGGAAGGAAACATTATGGAAACTCTAACCTCGTTGTTTAACATCTTCGCGACTACTCTTTTTGAGAGTTTCGTTGATGCGTTGCCAATGTAAAGGGACCAACGACGACACGATCAATGTGATTACAGTTACTCGGACGGCAGCAGCACATATAAGTGGGGGAACCGTCTGGAATTCAAATGAAATGTCTGAAAAATGAGTGAAAAAATCGGAGAAAAATGAATTACGTATCAAAACAATTCAAACAAGCTTCTGAATAGTATCGTGGTTGGTATACCGCTCCAGAGAATTACGGAGAGCGAAAAAAAAAAGAAAGAAACGGTAAATCTACTTCGAGACGGTTGGAACACCCGATTGCCGCTGGAGCACACGTCAGGTCCTGAACAGGCATCTTGTACGACATTCCAGCAGCCTAAATTGCAATTTTAAAATTTCGCAGGGCAGCCGTTGCGTGAAAAAGAAGAACAGCGATCGACGTTATCATGAGGAGTGATATGCACGAAGTTATACGAGTGGGAACTTACAAGCAATTTGCAAAATTAATAAGGCAGAGGTAGTGAAAAAGCTAAAGGAAACCCATTCAAACGATCGGTCCATCCCACTAACTACAAGACTACGATTAGTCTCCAGAAAGATAAAGGAAACGACTTAATAAACAACCAGCCACCCGCAATTGAAAAATTCAGGGGCTACTCCAATGTCAATGCGATTATGAATGGGAATAGGACGATGACGCTCCCTTGGAGTATTCGCGTGGATGCCGTTCAATTGCCACAATATCCATTTCGCCACATCGTATGATCAGACAAGGTCCCATTTACCACTTGTGAATAAGCATTTTACGGTTTATATTCTCACGAACTGTCCAAATGGCAACACAGTGCGATTGTGGATCCACACACTGCACAGAAACAGGAGCAATTGGCCCTGACTCCTGGAAAGGGTTATTTCGATGGCTTCCAGTGACCCTGGTTTCTTTCAGCTGTACAGTGTTGAAGCTCTGGCCGTGAGTTTACTATAGCTCTAAGAGTTTATAGCAATCCCATGATCTAGTGAATAGAAAATAAGTGGATTAATGTTCACCAATGTTTACCATTTTCACGTTCACCGCTCCATTAGCAACATCGTCCGCAAGGTGCTCCCAGTCGTCCAAATTACTAGCGCGTGAAAATAGGCAATATAGACTCTCACCTGGAAATTTTACCACTTGAAAGGGAGATGAAAATCTAAAAAAAAACAGCAAATAATGAGGTGTTAGTGCCTTTAAAAGCGCCTATGATGCTCCATATTCACCACCTTGCTAGAGCAGACAGAAAGCGCAGAGCTCATTTTGTGATATAGCTGTTTTTGTACGAAAAACCACTTTTTTCTGTTAGAATAAAGCTAGCTTTTCATCAACTTACCACTGTGGTTACCTAAAACTAAGTTGTTTCTGTTGTTTCTGGGTTGTTAACGCAAACAACTGGAAAGGCTGTTCTTTAGAAGCCATCTGCCTGATAGAACAGATGTATGCTTTTAACATTGAAAGCTAGCCAGATGTAGTGCATCAGACAACGATCGCTAAACTCAGAGACTTTCCCAAGTTGTTTGCTTCAACAGCACAATAAGTTCGGGCATTTCTTTACGGAAAGTAATATAGGAACGTCTAAGTTGAAATAACTCTGAACAGTTATCACGAAGAACTACCGATAACATCACAACGAATAAGCACTAGTGTGCATACTTGAATTTTGTACTATCATTCCTTTTATTAATGCCACACTTTTTCAAAATCTTCACCGTTGTCTTCGACAAACGCCACAATCGACACCGCTACTGTCAAAAGTACAGTTCACCCACACCGCTCAAGCAAACATCGATATCAATTTAGCTGTTGACTCTCAGTCCTATCCTGAGGTGAAATAAATCGAGAATTAAAAAAAACGCGCGAACCTTGTGAAGCCACTTCTGAGACGCATCCAATAGGAATGACAATAGCTAGAAGAAATCGGAATATCATAGCGCATGTTTAGCTGAAAGCTGAATATTTGAACTTATGAAGAAGACAACAGCGATGGACCGCATCCATCACATGTACACCGTTTGCAGTGCTGTTGACAGCGGAAACTGTCCGCTTGGAGGCAGTCGGCGCCACGATGGCGAGGCGCTAGCAAGGCATCGCGCTACACGTCACCTAGCCCACCGATCAAGTGGTTACCGCCAGTGCAGACCGGTACACTACGTAAGATAGAAATCACGTTAACATAACAGCATAGGAAGATGCACCTAAAAATGTACACGGTGCTGAGACTTGGAAGGGTTGAACTTCTCTCCTCTCACCGGCTGAACGGCGTCTCATTGGGAATGGTACCGTGAGTAAAGAACAAAGATACGAATCTAGAATCCCGTTTTTAGCTTCAATGGATGACAAAGCCTGTACTTTTGAACACCCACTCCATAAACAATTCCAATCAGGGGCTTCGCAAGATAAAATGACGGACACTGACAATGAAAGATACGCCAGACGCCTAGACGAAACAAGAGGCTTGGAGGCGAGACAGCGCAGTGAACGGGTGAGACGAAGACATCAACGTATGTGCAGCTGTGAGCTCTCCGTAGACTGCGCATTGCATGGATGTATCAGACACCAATAGCGTGCCCTCGCAAGTTTGGAGTTCCCAGAATGGCAATTCACTTGCAGAGAGCATTCGGAAAATTATTGTCCTCTATTTCCTTTCCAGAAAAGGCTTCAGGACGACGCTAAATGCCCCAATTTTTCTGCCTTTACAGCTGCTGCGTGTTCTCCGTGAACTGCAGAGAGTAAAAATTGCTAACTTATGAATAGAAGCGATCAGTTGCCCTTGCCTTCCTACAGCTGTTACTCGAATACATAATTTTTAACCTATCCGATACTTCAACGTTGCTGACGACAAGTGATGGAAAGCAATCTGAAAAAGTGACACTTTTATTGATGTGGAGAACATCAGGGATACGGAGTCTCCGAGAGTATGGTGTGTGATGTGTGTGTGTTGTGAGTACCTGGCAGACAGTCATAGTCTTTTGTAATTAGAGCATATTTCATGGTTTTGTGGATATATAGTATAATGGTGGATTTACAAATCTCACGAGGTGTGTATTTCGGAGGAATTCCACACCCAAATGCCAATAAAACTGCCAACAAACCTGCAACAAAAACAAACAACTAAGAAGGCATAACTGATAAAGACAAACAAGACAGACGGTGCCCGGGCAGAGCCGTGTGCTGAGGCTGTGCCTGTTGTATAATGTGTGTGTCAAACAAAGAAGCCGTTGACTGGTCCCGATCACGAACAATAAAATATAGCGACAGAGCACAAATTTCGAAATTGTGTGGTCACTTCACGGTGATTCATTCAACGAACATCAAGTACTATGAAAAGCTAGCAAAAGTTGTCTGCACAGCTATTTTGGTTCGTAATGTATTCAAAAAAGTGTGGCTGGCCCCACCCCACCTCTAGACAGCCTCTGAATTTTTTCTTGGCCAGACAGTCTGACTCCCATGGAGCAGCTGTGTCAATTTTTATCGGTTTTTCTAATAGATGGTCACACTATAGTTGTCTCTATTCTCCAGAATTCTGGCGTTCTTTCTCAATACACATGTATATGTATCTACAGTACTCAAGGTGTTCAAGCTTCAGTATCACGGAAAAAATGTTAGGGTAGCCCTCAGGATTATTAACTTGAGAACAGGTCCGGGATTTTAATAGGAAAGAAATATCAGCATTGTTATTGAGTTGTGCAGTTCAAGCGACATTCATACTCGTGTGTTTTGTCTACAGACACCGAAAAAAAGCCCCTCCAAATGGGATCGTTCCGACCGCCTACATATGTCATTTGGTCTGGATTTGCGTTGAATTAATTTGAAAAGCCAGAGGTTTTACACTAAAGTATCGGCACCTCACATTCAGCAAGAAGTACCATGCACACCCTAGAAAGACTGACATCACAGAATTCTTATGCAGCTGTAATTCTTCTTTTTCGTTTCATTTCTCGATATGCTTCAATCACTCGTTGGCGGTCCAGTTCTCCTGGCTTTTCTCGTTTATCGTCCTCCAAATACTTCGTTTTCGAGCTGTTTGAGCCCTGTTGAAGGAGCGAATGTAGAAGCAATTTTTTAGCACCGGCCTGAAAGTAGGAGTCATAGTTTTCATCCTTCCAGACAAGTTTGTTACCAATCAACCGATCCCGAAGGGATAGAAGGCATTTTGACCTAGGCCGCACAATCCAGATTTATCCTAGGGCCGCGCGCCTTGCAAACAGAACCGCTGACGTATACACCACCTCACCCTTAGATTTACTTCTGGACCTACCTACTTGTCCAATACCTTGGAGAATGAACCTAACACTTGATTTATATCCAGGATTGTGGATGTGGATGAATGTGTTATATTTATTGGTTGAACACATACTTACGAAGCGTATCCGGATTTGGAGGCTTCTGTTGTCACTGTTCTATCTTTGTCCACCTCTAGCCTTGTCCGGTGTAAAAAAAAACTTGTTGGAAATTCAATAGTTCGCCAAGTATGGCAACAGCTCATAACGAAAAAGTTGCTAATTGGCACAAGAAGCAAATGCTGCGCTAAGTTACTTGAATCTCTACATTGAGACTAAAATTAACCCGGGAATAAGTACACCGCACATAGCACTAGATCTGCGTTTGGGCGATTTTCAAGCAGTTCTACATCTGAAAACTTCGAAAATCTGTTCAAAATATCCGCAGCGTTTTATAAACACTTACCTTTGCCATAAGCGGATTCATTTCTTTCTTCATCGCACCTTTGAACTCTGGCGGTGCATCGTAGCGTTCACCGAACGCGATGACTTCTACAAAAGAACACATGTACTCAAAAGCAACCAAAAGGTGAACATACCATACTGATGCCGATCTGATAATGGAAAATTGTAATTAATTCATTTCCAAGCGTATCTTGAAACGCAGACCCGTTTCCACATAGGTTAGTAATATAACTGTTCTTCTTCAGAGCAATTGCAACTTTCTATTATAACCAATCGATGGAGACTCTTGAAGACTATTCAAGAGAGAAGAAGACAACTAACAGAAGATAACTACAAATGTCGTCGGTGTTTGCTAAAGGTCACTGCGAAGAAAATTACGTGGTTGTTCACAACGGGGATAACATGTCCAAGTGAACTCATTCTTGGTTACTGCCTCAGCCAAAGTAGAAAGTCAACGGACAAAGGGGTCCTACGTCATGTCTTCTGAACGGATTTCTCTGCTTTCTTTACTGGCGCACCATTTGGCACCTTTCCACTTCAAGCCCACATGTAACCTATTGCTGCTTTCAAGCGTGGGCAATAAACTCGGGCCAGGAAGGAGAAAATCACCTCTCTGATTCAGAATCGCTTCTTTCCGGTCCTGCTCAGCAGCTAACCTCTTCTTTTCACGAATCTTATCCGTTCCTCCCAACTTTCTTTTCTTCTTTTTCAGTACCATGTCGTCGTCGCCAGTCCCTTTCGAAGTCGATTCCACGTCCACCAAAGTGTCACTTTTCTGAATTAGCACCATTCAGGGTTTGAAAAGGCCTGCAAAAAAGACCTTGGATAGTAAAAAATAAAAACTTGAAAGTTACTTCGTCTTTTTCCACTACCACTTCGACCATATCTTCATCTCCATGAGCTTCTGCCTTTCGCTTATTCTTTCTCTCCTCCTTCTGTTTCAGTTTTCCCTAAACAATAGTATTACTTGCTTGAAGTTGGGTGGCTTTGTTAGAAGTCGAAATCCGTTGATTTCTTACCTCTTTGATCTTCGCCTCGCGTTCTCGTTTCTCTCGGGCAGCTTTTATTTTATTTTGAATCTCATTCTTCTTTTGCTCCTTCGCTCTTTTCTCCTTCTCTTCCAACAGTTTGAAATCAGCTGCGATTTCTGACTCGGCCCGTCCAGCCAAGCCTTGTTTGACCTAAATACCAACCTCCAAACATGCAATACGTTGACGGAAGGATTTTTTCAGAAGCCAGGCTTCCTTATTCAGCTAAAGCGTTTTCAATGACAAGAAAAAAAAAATAATGCCGAGAGAAGGACAAAAAGCAGTCGATGGCATGGGCTCTAGAGCAAGTTTAAAAAAAACGACAAGGCATGATTCGCGTGAATAGCGCTGGAGTAAGTTACAGCATTTCCCCACTCACTGCAATACAGAGCCAGATGTGCCTTCACAGTTTTAAACGACCAACCATAAAAAAATTTGAACATGTTTCTGGGTTCCGTAGATTCTGGTCACAAAACCACAGATTGGGAGACGGTCTTCAGTTCCACAACAGTTGCGTTATCAAACAAAAACTCAACGTCGCAAGAAAGAAATCACCAACCAGCATTTCGTGATCTTTTACAGCAGCGTAAGTCATTCGTTCGACACGGCGCACAAAATGTGGGATAGTTTCGAAGCGACCTTTCCGAATACCGATCTTCTCCGCTTCAGCTGAAGTAAAGTAGATGATACCTAGACATTTAGTGAATACGGTCAGTACTCCTCAGCTGGCTATTTATTATAAGGATCTACAGGACAAAGTCCCAAAACCTATACGTATTGTTACCCCCCCCCCCCATATCGAATCTACCCACTTACCCAGGACTTTGTTTTTGCGCTGTTTCCGTTTCTTCACCTCCGTTTTGCCGATGAGTGCTTCTTCCTTACTTTTCTAAATAGAAAGTTTGCAGTCTCCAATGAGACTCTCCTAGTGATTTAAGTATTTACCTGCAACTCCAGCAATGATCGAGGCACTGGCTGTACATCATCTTTAGGTTCCCAATTGATTTTACTGGAAACAAAAAAAACATAGCACGACCTCTATGATACACAGATGCTCGTAAATTGCTAAAACACAGAATGTAGCTAATGTCAATCATCTCTCTTCTACTTGAACAGTAATTGAAAGTAAACCTCATTGCTAGAGCCTTCAATGCTGGTGCCTTCTTGTTGAACGGATCGACCGATTTCAGCTTCTTGCGATTCTTCGTTGGAATTTTCTTATGTCGACCCATGGTTTCTATGTAAAACCTATTAAGATTACGCTAACCGAGTAATAACGGTGAAAATCCACAAACAAAAGAATAGATGGCCGGAATGGTGTTCGATACCAATGAAACCTCATCAACACGATTATTGTGAATGTTTATTGTACCAAACTTAAGAGACAGTTCCATTATTCTGAAGCGGTAGCTGACATTGGAAGGTACTTTCTGCAGGATGGAAATCCACACAGACATTGCTTTCCGCTTTCCGACGATAAGGTCGAGGTACCGTAATCGTAACATATCTCTTCTCCTGCTTGGATTATCCTAAACAGATCTTCCAGTTACGAATTGCAAATTGGCTACCAATCATATCCAGGGATAGTATGACACCTTTACGATCGATAAACATGTCAACTAAGTCACCTACTCCGCAGGAACGCCTTTCTCCTAATTCTCGAAAGCGAGTAATTACAAACCTCCATCGGAATTCCTCGTTTGTCATAGTCCCTCGGGTTAAAAAAATGCTAGTTGAAAGGAAAGGGAGCAGGGCCCTCGCATAATTCAATGTGGTCTTGCTCTGATCAAAAAAGTAACAGACTACGAGTATGACGGCATTGAAACAGGTGCACCGTATATGGATG